TTGTTTTCAATAAAATCTAAAGAATAGTTAATTATCATATTATTTAAAAACTGTTATTCAGCATTAAATCTAAAATAAATTAATGAATTAACTTTAACCAAAATTGTAATTTTGATCGCGAAGACGTTTAAATGTAATTTTGACCTAGAATAAGGTATGGACATTTCGGGGCTAATTAGTTTCTAAACGGAAAGGAGATAGATAGATACTAATATAAATAGATAAAAGTGTATTTATTCTCATGTATCTTACACATGTATGTAAATACATTATATACCAAGTACACAATACTGACATGGTTATAATGTCTGGCAGGAAGTTTATTTGCTTGGTCACAAAAAAAAAAAATTAATTTATATTTCAGATGATATACAAGTAACATAATGCAAAATACTATGTTGAAAGGAAGTGAATACTAAAAATAAACTGAGCTCAGTAAAAAAATAATATAAATAAAACAAATTTATAGCTTATCTAGCCCTACTCGTTCTACTTTTAAATATTTGTGATAATTAAACTATGTTATTATACAATATGTATAATTTAAAAAACAAAATCGTATACAAAAACAACTTGCGCAAACATTTCCATTCAAAACATCTACTACTCTTTTTTTTCTTATGTCAATATACATTGACCTAAACATTTTTCCTTTACGAACTTAAGACGAAATATATACCTACTAAATGAAGTAAGTTTCCATTCTATTTACTATTACACAAGGATCCAGGATTTAATTTTGGGGAGGGGGGCTCCAGCCCGAATAAATTTTTTTTGTATGCATATATAATACGATAATTACCTCGGAAGAAAAAAAGAAACTAAGTGCCTACATGAAATAGTATTTAAGTGATTCTTTAAGTCCTATTAACTTCAATTAGACGAACAATAATACTTTTAAAGATAATATTTTTCATAAAACATGGTTACATTTTACCATTTGGGGGGAAGGACGGGAGCTTCAACCCGAAAGCTCCTCCGTAGATCCGCCTGTACTATTACAGGTAAACACGTATAATGGTAGAGAGATAATTGATTGTATATGGTTGGGAAGTTGGTGGTTGAAGGGACAGAAAAAAAAAATTATTAATCCGTCTCTGGCACTTATTTAATGTATATATATATATATATATATATATATATATATATATATATATATATACATATATTTCTTTTTTTTTTTTTTTTTTTTTTTTTCTTTCGGCGCTACAGACTATGAAGATGTTTGACCGCGAGATGTGGTCTCCTAGAACACATCCCGATTCCCGATTTAAGTACACGGGGATAGGGTCATCAGTCTTACGCCCCGTCGCTGTGAGTTGCCTTCAGTAGACTGACGGGCTCACATCTCGGGGGAGAGGGGAGGGTGAGGATCTCGGGCAGCTTGGCTTTCCCTACTGGACGGTCACCCAAATCTGACACTCACCCATCTAAGTGTTAACCACGCTAGGCTTTGCTTAACTTTGATTACCTATTGCAAGCGCCTTAAGCCGCACGGCTGACTTATTTAATATAACCTTACATAATTCATGTTTATAACTTAATACGAGTTTTTGGGTATAACGAATAGCCAATCATTATAGGTCTCATGACAGTTGATTGAACAAATTATTTGAATTCATATGAAATAAATATTTTCGACGAACATTATAGTATTTGACAATACTAATGAGAGATTGGCCCAAGAGCTGCAGACAGCTATGTTAATTGTACAAACAGGTTTTAATCGCCCTCCGATAAGGAGCCTGAGCTGGGAGCTGTGTAGTACCTCACGATAGCATCGGTCCTGAGGAAGAGAGGTTCAAGAATTTTAAAAGCTGAGGATTAACAACTTAATATTGAGTCACCAGTGTTCTGTCATTTAGGCCTGACAGCTTGACGGCTACTCTAGGAGATTTAAAAGTTTTTTTTAGAATAACCGCGGATTAAGCTAAGCCGATTGGTCACTGAGCGAGGCAAAAGATTCAAACAAACAGATCTATTATAATTATTTTTATCCGTTTATGCATAAATATAAAATCTCTCGAATACCCCTCAATATAGGCGCATACTCTTCGATCAAATCTTCTATTGAAAATACAGGTGTACGCTAGTGAGAAAAGCTTTAACAATCTAAGCTTTAACAGTAGTAATTTACAATGTGTAAACATGTTCTCAATCCGCTTTAGCAACTGAATAACCGCATTTCTAATAAAAACTTTTAAATTATCTAGTTCTGAAATTATCTTCTGATAAAAAAAACACACTCTAATATAATGAAATATTAATGTTTTAAGCCAGGTTTTCATAGTGTTATTATAATTTAGTGAACCAAGATTAATGATCATAATGATTAAATAGCCAGAATAAAGTTGTATCCTTTGTTAAATAGATTAAAATATAGTAGACACACATGCATATTTTAAACTGATAGAACAAGTTGCATTTGAAATCTCTACAAATAAGGCCCAAGGACATCAACTCATGATAACAGGTATTAACGAGAAAGTCCGTGATTTTACAAACTAAATCTTGTTTGCTTTGGATTAGTGTATCTATCGATTATTATTGGAGTTGAAAGGTACAAAGTAATTTTAAATTTAGTCCATCTGGTTTTATTGTAGGTATACATAAATATACAACAAATTTTCAGCAGAGCAAGAATTAACGTTGAAAAAATTAAATACTCATTTTATTGAGATTTTTCTTCTTTTTAATCAGTGAGAACAACCTTGAAATTTATTTACTATCAAGCAGAAAACATTAACAATTAATTATTTTAGGGAAAAATTAAATGATGAAATAACCCATAATTTTTTTGTTTTAGGGAATTTCAATATTAAATTTAACACTTCACTCCTTTTCACTTAAATTAAGAAAATAATCTAAATTACGTTATATATATATATATATATATATATATATATATATATATATATATATATATATATATATATTTATTTTTTTAAAAAAGAATTTTGGCTTATTGGACACAGAATCCGAATACCCAATCACTACGGAAAACCGAGCACGGATCTTCTTTTTTTTAAAACAGTGAATGTCTTAAATATTTATGTTTGCGCAGGCTTCATTTTTATATCGTGCATAATAAGACAAGCCACAGGGAGGTTGTAAAATGCAAATAGATATGGACAACTCACACCTGAATGATATATGTTTTGCAGAAGCTTGTTATCTTAACTGGTTACATGAAGGCATAAATTCGATATGATAAATCGAATGCGTTATAAAAATAGACTCGTCCCAGAAGAAAAACAAAAAAAGAAGTTCAGCCTTCGTGATAAATAAGAAGGAGACGTTTATCATATTCAAGAGGCAGTTCTCATGTAGGCCGTGGGGCCACGTGTGTTGGAGTTCCCGCGTGATTTGTCATCGCCACATCTTCCCGGCTAAATGATTAACGCCAACGCCTGACCGGATTTTATTTTCTCTACTTGTTAAATTATTAATACACTCTGCTTTATTATATATTGGTATTTATAATAATAATAATGTGGTTGATGGTTAAAGATACACAAAATAGACTTCAATTTCATGGTATTGATGGTCAGTGCATAACAATCGGTTTAAAAATGCTGTATATAAAATTACTCAATTTTGTTTATCAATGAATGCTGAATATAAAATTACTCAAATTTGTTTATCAATTTGAAGATTATGCCATTTATAATGAGTGTAGTGAAATATTAGTTGCTAAGAGAAATAAACAATTAGTAATAATCTCACGAATTTAAATCGCATAATTCACTCTAGACGTCATTGATAAAAAAAAAGTCTGTTTATTTATCCGAATATTAAAAGTAAATATGTATGTTGGTTAATCTAAAAAAATGTTTAAAAGAAAAAGTTATGATACTATATACTCCAGCAGGACTTAACTATTTTCCAGTCGATCTGAGTCACAAATGGACGATGAGGAGACGGAAGATATCGTTTCCGCTCTCTTGTTAGTAAATGATTGGTCGAGAAGGCCCTAACACCACTTGTGCTCAGCCAATCAGCGCCCCCTTGTCAACGCTATCTATCATTCAATTTACTACCAAGTCACACTTCTCCTAGATTTCCAATCACGGTACATATCGAATCCGGACGCCATATCAGATCCATGTATGATCAATTTGCTTCAAGATTTGATTACCGACTCTATTTGACCGAAAAACATAACCATGGTGGCTCTCAATTAACTGAGAGTACATTTGGTCAAAGAAACTATATATATATATATATATATATATATATATATATATATATATATATATATATATATATATATATATATATATATATATATATATATATATATATATATTTATATATATATTTATATATATTATATATATATATATATATATATATATATATATATATATATATATATCTGTACAAGTATCAAGTTGGAATTTTATTTTATACGAATAAACGTTTTCTACTAAATATATATGTGTTTTACAGCGTTCACGATTAGTACCTTTATCAATATATCAGTCTCAAATAAATCCAAATTGTTAGTGCAAAAGGTCGTGTGCAAAACCGATTATTTCCTTATCATTTATTAGTATAATTTCATATTTTATTTCTCTCTGTTATTTTCCAATTTAACTGACTACTTACTTATAGTAGTTGCAGACTAAACAATTTCCCCTTTAGAGTAAAGATCATATAAAATTGTTACATATGATCTTTTGCACTAATAGTAGTAGTAGCTATATGTAATGCAGACTCTAATCTTTATTAATATTTTTTGGGGTAGGAAAATATTCCATCAGAAATGCCGAATTCATTATTTTATTAATAAATATTTATATTAACACCTCGACACTATTTAATATTGTAATAAATTCAGTGCTATGTTTTAACGTATTATGAAGTTATTTTAAATTAAATAAAAATTTGAAATGTTTATTTAATTTTGAGAAAATTATTTAATTTTAATGTTTCTAAAATCTCTTAATTATGATCGCACTCAAAATAAAGCTAACCATAATGTTATTTTGTTGCAGATGAGAGGGTAGCCGGATGGTGGCGCTGACGGTAGCTGTGCTGCTCACCGTGCTGCAGGCGGTGGCGGCGGACCTGGCCCCCATCATCGATCCTCCTTCGGGAAAGCGTTGCGAGGAGATCACCATTCCGATGTGTCGTGGTATCGGCTACAACCTGACCTCTATGCCCAACGAGCTCAACCACGACAGCCAGGACGAAGCCGGACTAGAAGTACACCAGTTCTGGCCTCTTGTCGAGATAAAGTGTTCGCCAGACCTCAAATTCTTCCTATGCTCCGTCTACGCTCCAATCTGTATAGTGGATTACCATAAGCCGTTGCCTGCTTGTAGGTCAGTCTGCGAACGTGCCAGGTCAGGATGCGCACCGATCATGCAACAGTACGGTTTCCAATGGCCAGAGCGGATGGCATGCGAGAAATTTCCCGTAAAAGGAGAAGACCCTGAAACCCTGTGCATGGAAATGAACAACAGGACCGAAAGCCCGAAACCGACAAAGAAGGTTACAAAATGCCGGGGCAGGAAATGTAATGAAAAGGACTGTACTTGCCGTTGTAACTCACCATTGGTCAACATTGAAATGAACAATCCGTTGCTGTATAACAGAACTTCAGTAAACCACGTTCCCAATTGTGGATATCCTTGTCATGGAGTGTTCTTCTCTAACGAGGAACGAGAATTCGCTTCTGTATGGATCACACTTTGGTCTGCCTTGTGCTGCGTTTCTACATTAATGACATTAACAACGTTCCTGATCGATACTGAAAGGTTCAAGTACCCAGAAAGGCCTATAGTCTTCCTTTCATTGTGCTATTTTATGGTCAGTCTAGGATATTTGACTCGAGTCCTTCTCGGCCATGATGAAGTCGCTTGCGACGGAAAACTTATTCGTTACCACGCTTCAGGACCTACGCCGTGTACATTAGTGTTTTTATTGGTTTACTTCTTCGGGATGGCTTCATCGATTTGGTGGGTAATTCTCTCCTTTACTTGGTTCCTAGCTGCAGGTTTAAAATGGGGTAACGAAGCTATAGCCGGCTACTCTCAGTACTTTCACTTGGCAGCATGGTTCATTCCAACTATGAAATCTGTCGGTGTCCTTGTAATGCAAGCAGTGGATGGAGATCCAGTGGCAGGAATCTGTTATGTCGGTTCAACAAACGCCGACAATTTGAGACTATTCGTTTTGGGTCCGCTTCTAGTGTATTTGCTGTTAGGTACATCATTTCTTCTTGGAGGATTCGTATCACTATTCAGAATAAGAAATGTAATAAAACAGCAAGGAGGCAGAGCTAAGACAAACAAATTAGAAAAACTGATGATTCGCATAGGCATTTTCTCAGTACTGTATACTGTACCAGCGACGATTGTGATTGGATGTCATTTGTATGAAAGCTCTTTACAAGAAGAATGGATGTCACCGATTGTATGTCCATGTCGAGAACAGATAATAAGACCGCTGCACTCTGTCATCATGCTGAAGTACTTCATGGCTCTGGCAGTAGGTATAACTTCTGGAGTGTGGATATGGACAGGAAAGACCCTTGGTTCTTGGAGGCGACTGTGGGGAAGGCTTTGCGCACCAGCCCCGAGACCCGATGCTAAACAACGAAAAAAGCCTCTCCTAGCGGCTTCTACGGTGGCTGCTAGTTCCAGCTTGCTCAGTGGCCCCCACGTTGCTCCTTTCCACCAGTATCCCTACAAAGGACCCTTGAGCCACGTATGACAGCAGAGGGCCACCCCGCTGAGCAACTACGGCCCAGTCTAGCCTCTAAGACCCGCCGTGCGCGGGGACACGCCGGCGGTCATGTCTTGCGGGCGGCAACGAGCGTCCCATGCCGATACCAGCTTTTCCCACCACAAGTCATGGCACGAATATGAAAGTTTATAAAAGAGAACTGATCTGTGCAAGGGCGGCGCAATGTATACCGAATAAATGACATTTATGCATTTATAGTGTTACTTTCGTATCATAAGACGTTTTGTAATTGAGATGGATTTAATGGAAGTACATATAGATTATTCAAGGAAAATATTTGTCTCATTACAAAATAAAATAATCCATTCCAGCCACAGTTTTAATAAAATGAAAATAAATGATTTTTCATCAGCGAAATAATGACACAACTAAAACAATTAAAATTGAAAAACCTTCAAGATTTTGTAGAAATGTATTTTAAGGAATTTTTCTTGTTGTGAAAACAAATAGTAGTTTGTTAGATGGACTGTAGAATATGGATGCTTTTTTGGTAATGCTTATTTTAACGAAATTAATTGATTACATCTCATCCAAACATTAAGGCTTTCAAGAAGCAATTGTTGTACAAAATAAAATAATTTTATGAGTAAATAGATACCGTGAAGGGTAAGGACAGGATAATTGGTGAAGGGTGGGTCATGATGATTAATGTTGAGCGTCAGGGGGAGAGATGATGGGCACGAGTGCCGCCATTTTCTGATTTAGTTAGGTCCAAGATGGGCCAAGGGCAATGTAAGCGTGAAAACTCGAAGGGCTAAGTGTCAAGGGATTAAGGCGCCTCGGGGAAAGGGGTAATCCGATTTCCCCTTAACCAGTAGAGTAGGCCCTGGTGTTATGGGAATTTTGCTCCAGCTTCTATTATGGAGGCCCCTCCAGTGAAAAAGTCCACAGCAATTTCATCCAAATACGCTTACGAATTCATTAGCGTTTTTAATCCTAGAGGCTGACATGGAGATAACAGAACTTGATAACAGATTTTTTTTTTTTTTTTTTGGAAAAACTAATAAGTTTTGGCAAAATAAATGACATATCAACAGTGTTCTCCATAAAAATTATCTATTTATATCTAAATATTTCATCAATTATTTATAAATGCATATTTCACATAGAAGTGGACAACGATTTATTATAAACATTTTACGAAATGTCAGTTAGATATTTCAATATCTGTTTGGACCAGTCAGTAACCATAAACAAAATAGATTCATTTACTACATCCTTTAATTATTTTTGTTTACTAAATAACTAATTTGAGAAGAGACTCCTTCCCTTGAATACATAATATAAGAAAAAAAGTTAGAAGCGGTTGGGAGCTATTTTTTAAGCTGTGGTGGTAAGATGGGAGGTGTTTGTTTACAGAGTTGAAGCCATCTGTTCAACATTTGCTTCTTGAAAACACAAACCTTCAACACTTGTAAATTAGGGAAAAGATAGAAAAAAATTACATTTATTTATTACCATCTTTAATAAATATATTTAATTATTTGAATGACAGGAGAAGAGATTAAAATCCTGTAAATGACTTGAGAATCTCAGGGGAATTTAATTGTTGGTTTAGTTATATTAAAGTTGAAATAACTATCATAATCAATACACGCAAAATACATTTTTAGTTTACATGGTGCTATTTATTAAGTTTGAGTTACCAGAAAAGCTCCAATATTTATGAGAACGAAATACCTAATTGTAAATAGATTGTTTTGTAATATTTATCACTATTAATATATACTTGATATACGTAATAAATGACAATATATTCATATTAAATGTTATTTACACAATTATCTATCATATCAAAAATGACTGCGTGTGTGTATGTAAGAAAATAATTGTTAATTGTAAATATTTTAATGTTATTTGTAAATGATGTGCCATATTAATGAACTGCCATTATTTCGTAAGGTATGTGAAGTAGTTGTATATAAGAATAAAAAGTTTAAATTATTAATATTTAAAAACCCATGGTGGTCAACTTATCGTTGCACCTGTAGAGTCAACCCCAGTGAGTGTACATGAGTTCCTTAGGGTTAGTTTGTATCTAGTCTTCTTTGTAAATAATATTGTGTAATTTTCAGGTGTAAACATTTATTTAATTATTGAATTTATTTATTGTGTGGTTATTATAGCAAATGTTTGCTAAAAACTACTAAAAACAATTTACTGTATAATAGGTAGCAGATGTATTGAATAGGTACACATTAATATGTATCAGTATACACCAAATTTTAAACATTAAAATACTGTTGAAACAGTTTCATAGTGTATGTTAACCTCTAATATCAAGCTGACAAAGAGTACTAGTCATATATTTTCGTATACGATAGATATATTTGTATTTGTGTTGTAACTCTGTAGTATAAAAATATATTTATATCCATTTACAGGGTAATGTAATGTTTTATTTGTGTATATAATATATTGAATTTGTAAAGAAATAAAAAGGAGCATTCAACAAATAATTTCTGTAAATAATTTATCGTTATATTAATATCAATCCATAAAAATAAATGTGTGCTAAAAACTTTAATACTGTTGTTATAATTTCCTTTTTTATCTATTTTCTATTTACTTTCTATCTTATAATTGAAAAAAAAAAAATCAAAAAGAGTAAGAGATGCTTTACAATTAATGTAAAAATTAGAATTCTATGAACTAATTACGAAAGGTAAATAAATTACTTAAGTGACATTAAGGTATGTATATAGCTTAATAGATTGTTCTATGAACAAAAAAAATATATAAGAAAAAATTAAAAACAACAACCAAATGATCGATTCAAGTTATCAAAGAACAATATTTATATATATATATATATATATATATATATATATATATATATATATATATATATATATATATATATATAATTTTTTTTTCAACAGAAATAGTCTTTGTCAGTTCAAGAACAAATGTTCAATGAATAAAACCTGGAAGCAACCAACCCCAAAAAAATTATTAATATTTCCAAAAATATAAGCAGAAAGTATTGCCAAACTTAAGGACCACTATTTATAAAAAAAAATTGTTTTTGAGTCCTCTCTTATATTACCATTTCTTACACGACAAGTCACAGTGAATAAGTAGAATTTCATGTTTGTTTTAATAAATAATTCATAAGCTAATACTGATACAATTGTTAGATGTTTTAATATGTTAATGAATTTATTAACAACAACTGATGATTAATAAAGGTATTTAACATTCTAAAAATATTAATATAACTGAAACAGACTGTCAATACTAAAATATTCTGTTGAGTAATCTTTAGTGGTTGCAGAAAAAAAGACAATTTTATAAGATTGTAAAAAGAATCTAAAACTATGGATACTAGTTCCTTGATTTATCACCTGTGTTTAAAATAAAATGTTTAGCAATTACAAATAAACCTGAAATATTATAAGAGAATCCCAAGAAGTCAGATTTAAAGACATATATTCAAAAATCAAACAACTGTGACTATGCCTGTTTTTTAGGATATTAGGCTATTGTAGGATTGATTTTCTAATTAATAGAAATAATTTTAAAAAATTAATCTGTAGAATAAAATGAAACTTAATATTTTTGCTTAGGTAATAAACCAACAGGGAGCTCCTGTATTATTCTATTTAGAATCATATATATACCAAGAGGTATCTGAAACTAACAGATACATGTATAGCATACACTACTGATGGTTTATTATTCATGAAACTAGCCAATGCTGAGTGGAGAAACTTTATAAAATGAAGAATATGTAAATAAGAGGGGTTTCACACTAACTAATAAAGTAGAAACAATGAAGAGGATGAGAAATATTTAGCCAGTATATCAAAGTATGAAATATGTAGTTAATATAATATAGTTAAGCTTACAAATATCTAAAATCGATTACAACTTAACAAAAGATATATAAGTAAAAATAGCTGTTGATACTAAAGATTTTTTTTCTAAGGATTAAACATAAGTTGAAAGGATATGGTATATAAATCACTGATTAATCAATTTGCCCATATATTTAATGTTAATATTTGTAACTGATCAGTACTGGCCTTAGAGTGGAACAACTGTTAGGGGTGCCACAAAAAAAAAAAAATACCAAATGTATTAAAATAATTATTTTGAGCCTATCAATAAAGTAACTGTATTAGAGAAATGTTTAATGAAATAAAATTCAAATATTACATAATATAAAACAGCTTAAGAAATAAATTTAATTTTTTCAGGAGGGATGACGTCATTACCCGGGGCTCCGAAAGTCTAAGGCCGGCATTGTGACTGATGATCATATTTTTATTTATTCAGTCACCAGACTGAAAGATTAGAAAATTTTTAAAGAAATTCTTCTTAATAACTAATGATTCATCACAATTGCAATAAACAAATAAGACTTGGAAATACAGATTATTTCTAATGGTAAATATTGAAGGAGTCTCTGAAGTAAGAAAATGATTTCCTGTTAATAACTTCATCCTTGTAAGTAAAAAGATATTCGATCATCAGTCCTTTTTACTTATTCTGTTCAGAGAGACTTTGATTTCTCACATTGTTCAACACTCTATCCTTAATTGTGGTGACCTATTTTTAAAAGAATGATGTCCACAAATAAAACTAAATAACATGTAAATTTCTAATAAACATGTTTTCCTGTCAGTTCTCAATCCTTGTTAATATATTTTTTTGCTCTAAAAAAAAAGCAACTTGTACTATGCAATAACAACAGTGAATTGCCACTAGCTAGCTTCTGTGACGGAAAACCTCCTTAACCTCCAGAAAGAGAGAAAGGATATGAACGCCTTTCAGAGAAGTGCAGCGGGTTGTTCAAAATACATCTCAAAATTGCCAATTATAAAATTTCTATAAATTCAAAATGTTTTAATTAAGCAATCTTAAAAGATAAGTAATTAAATCAATAAAATATATCATATACAAAGTAATACGTTAAACAAAAGATTAACTCTGGCTGAATCTATCAAAATACATCAATCAAACAAAATATGGGCAATATACTTCTTCCTTATGATTATTGATAAAAGTGAAATTTAAGAAAGCAATAAAAGTTTTACTTCTGGAAACTGATATCTGCTACTAATACATAATAAACTACGCAGTTGAGCTTATTGATCAGTGATATTTTAATTAACTACATAAAAATAATTAACTACCTAACTAATTAAACAATATCCAAAAGAAATCTATCCATTGAAGCTATGCCAATCAATCGATGCAAAAAAAAAAACATTCCATATTTATTACTATAGCTAGGATTTATATGCTACAAAAACATTGAAATATGGCATATAACAAGCTTTAAAAGTATGATAATATCCAGCACAATATGCAATAAAAACTATAATAATATAAAACGAAATAGTGAAAAAAAGTAATAACGATCAAATATTGATGCATAAATACATAAAATGAACAAACAATTTTTATTTCACATAAAAAGATGTTTTCATTATTTACATTACTCATATTAATCATTTTTATACTACTTTTCAATTTATTTTAAATTTTAATAGTGACACAAACAAAATATTTTCAACAATGGCATGTTTGTAATTGACAAACCTATCTATTTCTAAATGCATTGAGAAACTAAACCATTTGTCAGTTAATGAATATTTTCGATATAATGAGAATAGAACCTTTCTTCAACTACAGATGTTAAAGGGGCCTTTTACAAAAACTAAAATGGTATGAAGAATGTCAGTAATCAGTAAATTGCTTTTTAATGTCATACATAAATTTCTTATCAGATCATAAGAGGTATCAGGCATAGAGCGAAGGTAACAGGTATCAGGCAGGCATTCTGGCAAGATGTCTTATTCATCTCAGTCTTCCCAGCTTGATGAGACATGATATATTTGGCTTCTGATAAAGATCATACAGCTCCCTATTGTTTCTCCAACTATATTCATATATCCACATATATTCATTATTCTCATACACACCTCCATAAATTAAGCGTAACACTTTACATTCAAATGTGAAGAGGAGTTGACCTGGTTGTGGACCATGTCTCCAAACCACAACACAGTATAGAATGAATGAGAGTCCTAAATATAATAATTTTTGTTTATCTGGTAATCGAATTGCTGGAGAGATACTGCACGAGTCCAAAATAGTTTT